GATCCCACCCTCCAACAGCAGGTGGATTGTAAAGGGCAGGACTGGACACAGTGCAGGTTTTCTGATCCCATGCAGACTGGGTAAAGGAGGAGTCAGAGTCCTCAGTGGGTTTTTGCAGGTCTTTTATTGGGGTTCACCAGGCATATGGCAGGCAGGGGTGCTGGCTGGGGGGCTGGGAGGCTGGCAGGCCTCCCAGCCCCCAGCAAGTCTTTACTCTATCTGGGCTCTCTGGCGTTCTTCTGCTGCTTCTCGGCTTCTCTTTCGGCTTCGGCTTCGGCTTCTACTGCTGCTGCTGGCGACCCCGTGACGCCGCCCTTAAAAGCACAGTCTTAGCTAAATCCCATCTACCTATGCCCACACCCTATTCCAGGTGCCCGCCATCAGGCATGCATTCAGGACAAGGATCCATCATCTATCCTCATGGCGGAAGGGCAGAAAAGCCTGACATTTTCTTTACCCTACATGGATAAACTGGGGGAGAGCCAGTCACTGTCCACTGCTCCAGGCCCTGGGAATCAGAGGGCTGCCATGGAATAGATTGTCAGTGTTTTCTTCTGTAGGTTTTATTGTTGCAGGTCTTAGATCTAAGTCTAGAATCCATTTCCATTTGGAATTTACTTTTGTGGATGGACGTAGAGAGTGAGCCAACATCATTTTTTTATTGGCTTCCAATTTTCCTAGTGATGGAGGAAGGAGACACAAGGTCAAGAGCCTGACTCCCACAGGAGGTAGGGGCAGAGGAGACGAGCATAATCCATTAACCCAGCTATAGAAACCAAGACCCTTAGGCATCAATGCCCAGATCAGGAGGCACCACACCTCCTGTCAGATGCTGTGGGGAGGGTCAGGGGCACAGACCATCCACCACAAAGATGAGCCCCTCCCTGGAGATGGTACAACCTCACTCAGCCCCCACAACGGGGCAGCACTCCGTCTGCCCACCTGTGCCTATGCAGGCGCCTCTTTTCACCAACTCTCCCTCCCCAGGGCAGCCGTCCCCTGCCTGCCCGTGACCTCTACCTGCCGGGGCTTCTCCTCACCGACCTCCCTCAGCAAAGGCCGCTCTCCTCAAGGCCCCCGCCTGCGACCATGCAGACCTCGCAGCCAACCTGTCCCTTTCCGGCAGCTCTTCCTGCCCGCTGGTGTCTATGCAAGTCTCCTTCATTCTTCTGCCCCTTTCCCTAATAAACCTTTTATGTAAATATCACGACCGTCTCTGTCTCGTGGAGAAACTCGCCATGTGCTGCTGTAACGGGAGCTCAGGGGACACCTTTCCCAGAGTGAGCCCAAGGACCCCGCAGTCTACAAAAACGACATCACTAGCATCATTTATTATTACTCTCCTTTCCTCCACTGAAGATTCCTATTTTATCTTCATAGAAGTGATCTGGATAGCCAGGATGTTTAAATGCAACTTAGTAAAAACTCTGGGGTTTATGAACTACAAAAATAAATACTTTTGGAAACAATGCCTCAGATCATAAACAAAACTATTGCTGATGAGTTCACCTACAACCTTTCATTCTATGTACATCTATTTATTTATTTATTTATTTATTTAATTTTATTTTTATGCATACAAGAGCTGGGGTACAGGCCAGAGGTGCGGGGTAGGGGATGAGGGTGAGAGGATTCACCAGAGACAGAGTGGGGAGCAGAACAGGCAGACTGACTGAAATCCACTGCTGAGGGGAGCAGTGGGTGAGTCAGGAGAGGTCTGCTGCGTCATGTGGATTGCTCCCTGGCTGGGGACCGAAGTTGTGTTGCAGTGGATGCAGTTAGCTTCACAGGTTGTGTCTTAACCCCTTGCACCACCAGGGAGGCCCTTATGTACATCTATTTAAATCTTACCACTAAAAGCTAACAAATTTTGTAAGCACCATTAGTGATAAAGATGTCTTTTGTTATGTTAAATGAGGTGGCATTTTGGGATGCACCTAAGGAGGGGGCTTATTGCCAGTGAAACAAAAGGAGTGAAGTGATTAGAGAGTTAGATCTTCCAGGCCCACCCACTGACCCTGATGAGAGAAGGCTGGAGATTCAGCTCAGTTCCCAATGGCCAATGGTTTGATCGATTGTGTCTATGTCATGAAGTCCTATTAAAAACCCCAAAGGATTGGTGTATGGAGAGTTGATAACCACATAGAGCTTTGGGGAGAGTGATGAGCTCAGAGGGGATTCTGCATCCTTTCCCTATACCTGGCCCTGTGCAGTTCCTCCTTCTGATTGCTCCACCACTCTGAATATTCTCTGTGCTTTGCCTATTCATCCCTCCCCCCAAATCCCTGGCAACCATTGGTCTTTTCACTGTCTCCCTAATTTTGCCTTTTTAGGATGTCATCGAGTTGGAATCATACTCTCAGACTGGCTCTTTCACTTACTAATAGACATTGAAATTTCGTCCACATTTTGGGGAGTTGATAGCTCAACCCTTTTAATTGCTGAATAATATTCCATTGAATGGACATACCACAGTTTATCCTTTTGTCTATTGAGGAACATCTTTGTTGCTCTAAGTTTTGGCAATTGTGACTAAGGCTGCTGTAAACATTCACGTTAATCAGGCTGCTTGTTTTCTTATTGTTGAGTGTTGAGTTCTTTGCATATTTTGGATAACAGTCCTTTACTAGATGCTCCCCTTGCAAATATTTTTTTTCCAGTCTGTGTCTTGCCATTCTCTTGACAGTTAAGGGATTTTTAACTTCACTAAATCCAGAAAGTGGAACAAAGAAACAAGAGACACTTTGGAAAGGCAAAGTTCCCAAGATGTAGCCGTTTAAGGTCATCTGTGGCTGAAGGCAGCCGCTTCATCTGTGCACACCACACTAAGTGAAGCCACTAATGGCAATGGCTGGCTTGGAAGGCTGCTCCCTTTAGAGAAGAGCACTGAGTGGGAACAAGAGAGGGGAGGTCTGTAGCCTGGGTCCCTGTATGTTGTGATAAATGATGCAGGAAGGGGCAGGGTGTCAACAGCTCAGCCTCACTCGTGATAGGTGCGCCCCAGGGGGAAGCTCCTTGGAATCTGTTGATCCCCATATGTCACAGGCCCTGGGATCTGTTTTCCACCCTCTTCCACTCCCAAATCCTACCAGGCAAACTTGGTAGAAGCTGTGCCAATGCGGGTGTCTGCCCTCTTAACCACATTTGGATCAGGGCTGAGTCTCCAGGTCTCAGTCACATGGAAGGTTCTGGAGCTGTTCATCCTCCCCTCCCCATATCAGCGGGCAACCCCTTCAGCAAGCTCACAGAAGTAAAATAATGACTTTATTTAAAATAGCAAGACTCTGACCTCACCCCAGGGGTCAGGGTTCTTGTGACAATTTCGCACATGCCAGGAAAACACGCCATGTCTGAATGGGGCACTTGTGAAAATGCTTTGTCTCCTGGGGGGCAGATGAGGAGCTCTGTGCACCCTCAGTGGGGGCAAATAATCATCTTTATCAAAAAAACAAAACAAAGGAAAACAACTCAGAAGCAGAAAGAGGTGGAGAGAAGGGCAAGCCTGAAAGATCAGGGGTCAGAAGTGCTGAGAAGGGGGTTCTGAGCTGAGAAGCACGTCACAGACTGAGCACCTGTCCAGGCTGAAGTTCCGCATCTGTACCCCAGGGATGGCAGTGGGTAAACACTGAAGACAGAACAGAAAGAAGCTGGTGGGGCCCAGCAAGTGTAACAGGGCCAGAGCTCGCCGGGGTCTCAGGATCGTCTTTGGCTCTGAACGCCGCAGCCGAGCTGCCCTGACATGGCCCCTGGGTCTGGTCACGCTGTCTTCACGGCGGGAGGGCAGGAATCAGGACCACTGCCAGCGCGGGTCCTGGCCCAGCTCCAGGTCCCAGGACCAGCCCCTCCCCTGCGCATAGGGTCACCACCCCCTGCAGGCTGCGTTCACCCGTCTGCAGGCCACGGCGGGCCACACAGCAGCGGAGATGAAAATCTGGGAAGGTGTTTTACAAAAGCAGCTAGCACAGCAGTGCCACCCCCGACGTGGAATGAGAACTTGAAGGGGCACCCGGAGTTCTGTGACTTCCTGGCCGGTCTGGGGAACCCAGATCTATCCCGGAGAGGTCATGCCCAGTGGCCCCCTCTATCCACCCTTAGAGGCATAGATTGGGAGATGGAGGGCCGCTGAGCGGGATTCCTTCTAGCTTCGTCCTGCTGGCCCCTCTAACTCGGCCATGAGTAGTTCGGGGTTTCTGAGTGAGTAACTTCCTGAATGTCGGCTCCATCCGAGAAGCTAAGTGCGGGTCTCTGCCAGCTCTGCGCCCTGGTGGGCTGCAGCATCTTTGGGGGCACCAGGACTCCCTTACATGGGAGCCACCGATTTCTGAAGGACACGGGATTCTTTGAACCCCATGGGGAGGGCCACCCCCTGCTGATTTTCATAAATGGATCTTTTTCAAAAGGCAGCCCTACGCGGCCATGTTGGACCTGGTTCTGCAGAGGGCTTGGCTTGCGGGTTCACGGCTGTTACAGTTTCCAGAGTAAAGCGGGAATCCCTGGGGGGGCGTCACTCGCTTCCCACTGAAAGTGAGTGGACTGCTGGACTACACGGGACGGATGGACACAAGGGAGGACCCGGGGCCCAGGAGGCCACCCCCATTCTCAGCTGTGGAGAACTCGCTTCAGAAGTCACTGGCAGGTGCTGAAGAAGAGCAGGGCCAGGGACCGATGCAGGGTTTCCTTTCAAGGAACATATCAGCCCCACCCTGTGCCCCCCACCCAGCATCTCCCCACCCTCCGCCCTGGGTGCGGGTCTGTATGGCCCATCGCCTCACCCTCTGGCCACCTTCCTTACAAAACACCAGAGCAGGGTGAACGCGCCAGAGACCCCACTCACTCAGTCAGACCTCACAGAGAAGCTGTGGAGACAGTGGGGTGCCCGCAGGGACCCCTATACTGCCTCTCCCTGCCTGTCCCGCCTGGGGCAGAGGGGGGACCTGTATGTGCCCCGGGAGGTGGAGGCGGGGGCAGGTGCGGCCTGTGCCTGGCGCTGGGGTCCTGGGTTGGGGGGCTGGGGAGGCAGGGCCGCACCCTGGTGAAGGGGGCTGGCTCTTCTGCTGGCCGCAGCGCTGCCTCAGCATCCAGGTGGGGTTGCCGCAGGCCCCCACGTGTTATTGAGGACTGGGGTGGGGGGCACAGGGTACAGTGCTTTTTCTGCGGGGATGAGGGGTGAGTCCCTCAAATTGTAAACAGTGAAGACGAGGGGCCCGTGATCATGGGGCACGGCTGCCTGGCGGGGTGGTCCCGCCTGCCCGATTCCCATAGTCTCAGTGCAGACCCTCACGCAGACAGAGGCCCACCCCGTGGTGGGCCCGGGAGTCAGGGGAATCAAGCCACCCAGGGGTCTTAAGAGGTAGAAGAGGCTGAGTTTGCAGCTGCTCCCAGGAGGGGGTCGAGAGCTTCCACAGTCAAAGGGCGCAGGGCCTCAGGGTCCCAGCAGGCAGCACCGATGTGCAGAACCGGGGGTGGGGGTAGGGGGAGGCTCAGCTGCTGGGAAGTTCGGCTGGGGTCCATCTGGTGCCCTGAGAGCCACCTGTCCTGGAGGATGCAGTGGCCTGGGGAGGGCCAGCTGGGCTTCTAGTGGGGGGCTGGGCCCGGCCCCAGCAGCAGAGGGAGAAGAGGCGCGTGCGGACGGCTTGGGTGCAGAGCACAAACATGATGCAGTTGGCGCCTCCCTGGAACGTGTTCCCGATGCCCTGTGGAGAGAGTGCGGGTAAGGGCCAGGGCCGGGCACAGCTGCCTGCAGCGGCACAGAGGCTGGGTCTGCAGGACCCCGACCTCGCCTGCCTTCCCCGGGGTTGGTCTGCAGTGACCCTGGAACTTGCAGGCCTGGCACAGACCCAACTCTGGGTCTTCTGTGCTGGGAAGGACCCAGAACCAACTCCCCAGGGGCTACTCCTAGGCCACTGGACAGCACCCGGAGCTGCCCACACCTCCCGCCTTTGCTCGTAGGCCAGGGCCTCAGGCAGGGGAGAGCCCAGTGCCGCCGAGCCTCCAGCAGCGCCCCCCTGGCTGGCACATTAGCATGCCCACATGACTGGGGTGGCATCCGACCCCGCTGAGCCTCGAGGAGGGACCTACATGCAGAACCACCAGCACGGGGGTCCGCACGGCCGGGGAGCCGCAGAGGGTCAGCACGAAGCGCACGGTGCTCCAGACTCGGAGGCAGATGAAGATGAGCGGGATGAGGACCAGCTTCTTGTCGGCCACAGAGGCGTGGTGCTGCAGCCGGTGCGCGTCGGAGAGGATGGGCCGGTACTCAGACAGCGCCTGGTGCTGCGCAAACACAACAGCATTGCTGAGCCTCGGGGGCGCCTGCCTGCCCCCCCACCCTGCCCTGAGGCAGCCCGTCTTCCCAGGGGCTCGGCTGGAGCGGGGGTGAGAGGGGAGGGTGTTCACTGCTTTCCACTGGACCCTGGACTCCCAGAGGCCGCTCTGCTCTGTTCCTTATCCTCACTCCTGTCCCCTCCAACCCCCACCTACATCGGGGCATCTCAGGTCCCAAAAGGAACCAGGGCCGCACCCCGGCCCAGACACGCACCCTTCTCAGCTGAGGGAAGCGTGTCCTGCCGGCTGTGCCCGGGCTGTGTGCTCCCATCGGGCCCTGGGCAAGTCTTGTGGCTCATCCTTCAAGGGACCCAGAGCCCGGTGCCCTGTGCCCTGCTGGTGCCCCCAGGGTGTCCATCACTGTCACTGGACTCTCCCCACCCCCTCCGGCTACAGTCTCACTGTCCACACACAAGCACGGTTCCCTGAAAACCTGAAACAGACCAAGCTAGCTTTTTTGGGGGGGGGTGTCCCCATCTCATACCTTCTCTACAACCTCCCCAGCCTGGGCTGGCCTGGCTCTGACCTCCTCCTAGGGTTCTCCCCCTTGATCTGTCTACTCCAGCCTTGCAGGTCTGGGCACACCCGGCCCCCGGGCCTTTGCACTAGCTGCTCCCTCTGGCTGGAAGGCTCTTCTGGCCACACATGTGACCCACTCCTTTGCCTTCTTTAAGTCTTCGCCCTAATGTCGCCTTCTGGACAAGGCCCGTCCTGACAATTTAGTGACAATTTTCTGACTAAATGAAAGCACCAGGGGGTGGGTCTTTACCTTGGACCTTCAAAGAACAATCACCAACAAAGAGTCATTTTTACTGCAGCAACTTTCCCCCAACCCAGCCTTGGAAGCACCTTGTCATGCTACTTGTCACTGTTTCTTCTCAGCTTTGATCTGGTCTCCACTGTGTGCCAGGCCCTTCCGACAACCCTGCCCGGCTGCCCAGCGCCGCCCCCTCCAGCGCTTCACTGCTGTCTGCTTTTCACAGGCTCCGCCGCCTTCCTAGATAAATGCTCCCTGTCGTGGGGGCCTATGGCTCATCATCCACCTGCAAAATGCAGGCTGCCCCAAAGGTCTGCGGTGGCCCCAGCCCCAAAGGAAGGGCTCCCTCCATAGCGGAAGTGCAAAGAAAAGTGAGTCGGGCCCCTCGGCCTCCCTGCTGTGGGACTGCCCTGCAGGGAGTGAAAGGGCCGGCTCCACTCCACATGGCAACTGTGTTTGTGAAAACAGAAAAACAGCTCGTAGCAAAGCTGCCCGTCTGAGGCTGGTCCTGTGTTTGGGGCAGTAAAGGTCCAGGTGCCACACACCTGCCAGCATCCTGGGGACGCAACTCCTGTAACTCACCTGCGCAGAGCACCTGCTTAACTTCCCGCCCTGAGATGGATACTGCACGCCCCAGAACCCCAGGGAGCCACTAGACTGGGAGGGGTGGGGTGGGGTGCTGGATGCCAGCTGGGGCTGCTGGGCAGCTCCCCTCCAGAGAAGCTGGCTCCGTGCATCTCTGCTCTCCTTCCTAGCGAGAGGGGCCCAGCGCTGCCGCCTCCAGCATCTCCCTTTTCCCTGGAAGCACTTGGGAAAGGTGAGAGAGGACCCATTTTCAGAGTGGGGGGCAGCCTGGCAGGGAGCAGACCCCAGTTGTGCGAAGGAGGGGCCTGGTGGAAGGTGGACACCCCACAGGGGTGCTGGGGGGGTTGGGTCAGAGATGGCGCCGCTCCCAAGAGCCTCAGTCAGGGAGCCTGGAACCCCCCAGGCGGTGGAAAGGGCGCCAGTGAGCGGCAGGAGACCCCGTGAAGAGGACTGCAGCCCCCCGGGGAACCCTGCCAGCGTCTGGGGTGCGGACTCCCAGAGCCAGGGGAGGGGAGGGGCGGGAATCCTACCAGCAGAAAGGTGGGGACACGCTCCCTTTGAAAAGCCGGGGCGCAAAGCCGCGGCCTCTGCACCCGAGACCTGGCGGCAGAGCGGGTCAGAGAGGGGCCTCGGGGTCCCGGGGCGCCCTGAGAGCCCACCCTTTGTGGTATCATTGCGGGATCAGAACGAGGTGGGACGCTCGCTTGGCTCCGCGCCGGGCGCGGGGTGCTGTCGGGGCGCGCCTCCCCGGGCACCGCGGCGTCTGGGGGGGCGGGTTGTGCGCCCCCGGGTCTGACGCCGCTCACGCCGCAGGTGGGGGGCGCGGGGGTGGGGTGGGGTGGGGGACCCCAGGGGGTGGGGGACCTTAGGGGGTGGGAGGCTGGGGGGGGTGAGGGCGCGGGGGGGGGGGCACGGCGGGCAAAGAGTTACCGGTCCTGTCCCCGGGCCCGCCCACGAACCGGGTCTGGACCCCCTCACCCCCCCCACCCTGCGCCCCGCGGGCCGGCACCTACCGCGCGGCTGATGTGCTTCCTGATGAGGAGGTAGAGCAGGGGCAGCAGCACGTAGGCCAGGAGCTCCCACAGCTTCCCGGTCAGCAGCATCCAGAGCACGCGGTCCTCCGCGCGCAGGTCGATCCAGCACCAGCCCACGGACACGTCGGACGCGTCGTAGCCGATCTTCCTCAGCGCCACGGCGGCCGCGGTGATGGCCAGCGGGACCCCCCAGCTGCAGGAGGACAGCAAAAGGCGCGGCGGTCAGGCCCCTGCGCTGCACCACCAGCCGGGGCAGCAGGGCCTCTCCCAAGGCTGGGTCTGCCGGTGCGCAGGAGACCTGGGGCCAGGAATCCTCAAATCTGCTCACCCTGGAGGCGCCCACGTCGCCCTCCTATCGGGGACCCCTGTCCGATCCAGGCAGCCTCAAGCCTGGACAGATGCATCTCCCTAGCCCTGGAGGCCGGGCTGGCGTTTACAGCTCCCTGGCTGCTCTGGCTGGGGCTGGAAGGCCCTGGAAGGCGCTGGAAGGCCCTGAAACGGGGAGCACTGCTCCTTCCTGCACCCCGAGGCGCCCTGTGCCAGCCCCACACTCATCCCAGTGTGCATGCCTCCTCCAGCGCCCCGAGAACGCGCCATACCGGGCCACCTGTGTGGTCCAGATCTCGTTATCCTTGCAAAGCATTTTAAATCTGTCAGGGGGATGCGCAAAAGCTGGGCAGCAAAGAGTGGGGGCAGCGATGCATCCACACATGGGGCTGGGCCCCAAATCTTGACCTTGCCCCCTGGTCTCAGCACGAGGGGTGTTCTTCACCAAGTGGGGGTACAGCAGGGTGTTATGAGCCCAGCCTGGGGAACAGAGTGCAGTGCAGGAGCTGGGCCGGCGTGGCAGTGGTCATGCCCCCGTTGGCTGCGCAACGCCCACATGTTGGCTGGCGGGAATGCGGGGGGCGGGCGCCGGGTTGAGTGGTTCCGCTCCTGGGGAACAAGACACAAGGTGTACCTGGTCCCAGGCCAGTCGCCTGGAGAACAAAGCAGGAGGTGAACAGGACACTGTTCTCCGTGAAATGTTTAGTTCTGATCTGGCTCTATTTTGAGGGCGCTGCTGGGAAGAGCAGCTGCTCTGAAAGGCGTCCAGCCGCGGGGGCAAAGTTGCATGTTGATCTGTTCTCACAAGCAGGCGGACGTCCTGTGTCTCCCCGCACAGGAGCAGGCTGGTGACAGGAGGGGCGGGCTGGGGAGGACATGAGGGGTGGGGGGCCGGGGAGGGAGGTGAAGGGAAGACCCCGCACCGTGCCTGCCAGCGGAACCTGCGCGCACACCCAGCTCAGGCTGCGCTACGCACCGTGACGCATCATCTGTTTATACTAAAACTTGCTTTAAACTGAGATTCCTGCCCCAGGGATGCCCGAAGGATGTCGGGACACTGACGCCACCGGATGGACCAGGTCAAGATGACCAGGAGGCTGATAACACGTTCTGGGGGCGGAATGTGATGAATACCGGAAGCTGATTCACTGTGACGGGCTGTTCTGAAAAACTGATTCACTTGTGACTGTCTGTTCACCTCGCTATGCAGAGCCAGCTAGAGACGAGGCGGCAGAGCGGTCTCCTCGGGGCTGTGCCCACCGTGCTCAGGTCAGTGGCCAGCGAGCTGGAGAGTCGAAGCACCTATAACTTCAATGCCTGCCTCTGTGCTGGCTTCCGAGTGGCAGGGAGCAGGGCCCAGCCTGTTCCGATCACAGGGAGTGCCGGCTCCCTCTGCCTGGACGGGCTTGGGCGGGACACACACACACACACACACACACACACACATACACGGTGTGAGGGTCACAGGGGATTGCTGGAGAGCCCTCAGCACCCTCAACACTGCTCTCTGACAACAGACCCTCCTTGAAGTCACAAAGACACAGAGGGGGCAACCCCATAGAGGTTAAAGGGCTATGACGAAGGTCTAACTGGGGACTTCACGCATTTTAAATGCCCCTTCTAGGCAGTTCTTTATTGGGTAAGTGAATGCATAAGTGTCAAACTGTTTTGTCACATAAAGGGTTATTGTTTAAATCCCCTTGCTGCCTGGGACTCGGGGACAAGCGGCCCCGCAAGAGAGGAGGTGGGCGGCTTCACCCTCTCTGCAGCGTCAAACATGGGAGCAGCCAGGCAAGGGCCGGGCCACATGTGTGGGACATGGCCCTGGAGAGGCCGGGCTGGAGCCGAGGATTCCCGCTGGTGCGGGAAGGGAGAACCAGGCAAGGGGTGGTGGGAGCAAGGAGCCAGCTTGCAGGCCAAAGCCCTCTGTGTCCTGCTGGCCCCGACCACAGACCCGCACCCACAGGGCAGACCATGTGCTGTGGCCACACTGGAGCTACAAAGTGAGGTGTCTTCTCTGCATTACCGGGGTGCACCTGGAACCAAGCTTGTGTTGGGAAGCGGTCAGGAGACCATCCAGGCAGAGGCCTGTGCAAGGGAACGCGTCGTGGACTCACCGATGGGAGCCTGCTTGAGCTGAAGCACAGCGCACCTGTGGCGGGCTGGAAGCAGCCCAGGGAGGGATTCACGTGGGAGGCAGAAAGAGGATGTGGGTCACTGAGTCAGTGGGAATGGAGTGGGAAGGACCTTTTAATCATCCCGCAAGGCAGGCTCGGCCAGGCCAGCAGGCTCGAGCCCTGAGCTTCCGGCAGTGCTGTGCTGGTGATGCTTAACAACCAGCTCTCCAGAAAAACCGTGTGTGTGCCCGCATCTATTTATTATAAATTATAGTGATTGAAAAGATGCAAAGTACACAATTTGTAAGTCATAATAAAACTCACAATACTGCTTAGCGTAGATCCCATTTAGCCAAACAGGCCTCACAACATGCTTTTGTTGACTTTTTGCCAAAGTCTGCTATCGGCAGCCAACTTGCCAGTTAGCAAGTGAGCGTTGTTCCCCAGCCTGAGGTTGGCTGACGGTTTCATTTTCCTTCACAAACAAGATGAAAGTGAAATAAGGAAGACAGAGGACAAGAAAGATGCCAGCGCTTCACTGGTTTGACAGTGACAAGAGTAACTTTTGCTGTTACCATTTTCTCCCTCACTGTCTGCAGTGGCTGGATCAGGGGTCCAGCCAAATATGATCCTTAGGCCGAATCCAGCTCATAGTCTGTTTTTTTAAATAAAGTTTTATTGGCACACAGCCACACTCATTCCTTCACAGATTGTCCATGGCTGCTTTCAAGTGGAAGCAGCGGAGTTCAGCAATTGCCAACAATTACAGGGCCTGCAGAGCCAAAAATACAATCTGGTTCTTTACAGGAAGTTTCCTGGTTCAGGCCGTCAACAGAACAATAATCCATGCCCTAATCTGTCGAGTTTGCCAATGTCCATGGTGTAAATATTCCCACCCAGGCCAATGTCAAGCCCCAACGTGTAATTGGGAACAGATATGCATAGCAAACCATCTCGTGCCCTTCCCCACCCCAACACCCACGATAGATGTAAGTGACCTAGTAAGTGCACGGGTAATAGAAAAACACAGTAAAATTGGCAGCATGTAACAAGTTTTGAGTATTTCTACTATGTTTTTAATATAATTTATTCAATTGTAAGTTTATATAAGTTTTAATAATGGCTTTATCTAAAAATTGACTCATAAAATGTCCTAAAATTGAACAACCGGGTCTCATAAACTGGTTCTAAGAACCACTGGACAGAGATGAAAAGGATCTCTAGGTCCTTGTCCTGGAGATTGGTGAGAAAGTCAGTATTTCTGGCCATTTCAGATCAGCAGAGCTATTATCGGGCCCGGTGGCCACCCTGAGCCACAAGTCCTGTGGGTCTGTGTGTGATAGCATCCCTGCTTTCCAGGAACATGTATTTCCAATTTCTGACATGTACCAAGTAACAGCCAAGGACCAAAAGTGACCAAAGGCACAAGAAAGGCAGGGCTCCATAGCAGCACCTGTGAAAGCAACAAGGGCTGAGACTTAGGAACGGGTCTGTTTGGAGGGTTGCTCTGATGCCCAGAGGTGGGCGGTTCGGAACTGCCAGTGTCCACCACTGCCAGGTGTCCACCTGCCACCCACATTCTAAACCTGAGCTCACTAAGGTGGCACTGGAGCGGGCACGTAAGGAGAGGCTGGGCCCTGAGCTGTCTCCAAGGTTTACAGAGTCTTGAACTCCCACTGAGGACGAGGGCACGGCGGCGCTGGAAGGGGAAGGGCAGGGCGTCCTGCTCCATCCTAGGATGGGGGCTCCCTGGCAGCCCTGGGCCCACGTGCAGGGTGCTGGGAGGGACATGGTGAAAGCAGTGTCGGATCAGGTTCCTTCTCTCCCAACCAGAGGGAGGGAGCTTAAAGACCCCCCTCCTGAGCAGAATCCCCTGCCAGGAGGGGCGCCAACAGCTTCTCCCCGAGCTGGGATGGGGTGGGGGTTCCTGGCTTTGATACGTGTTTGCTTGGAAATCAAGGCCAATTCCAAGGCCTTGGAGGCTGTTCTGGGCTGAGCTCTGTCTCCCCCAATTCTTGCTGGAGTCCTAACCCCCAGGACCTCAGGGCTTGACCATCGGTGGAAACAGGGTCTTTATAGCAGCAATTAAGGTAAAATGAAGCCACCAGGTGGCGGCGGGCCCTAAGCCAACGTGGCCGTGCTTCTAGAGTGAGGAGCGGGGCACACAGGAGGGAGGACGTGAGGCCCAGGGAGAGGGGGAGGCTCAGGGAACCCCAGCGCTGCCCACGCCGTGGTCCTGGGCTTGCCGCTTCCGGGACGGGTGGGGGATTCCTGGGGCTTAGGCCGAGGGGCTGTGGTTTGTCAGGGTCACGGGCACAGCAACAGAGGCTTCCTGCAGACCCTGGGAGAGATGTGCTGGGGCAGGGGTCCTGGGGGCCCCGGCTGCTGGGACCCCTCCCAGAGGTGAAGAATGGGCAACACCCCATCATACATGGTGGGTAGAACTTGTGGGGGACCCTCAGTGAGTCTTCGTGGTAAACTGAGGTAAGCCATTCTGACTTGTCATGCGCTGAGCTCTCCTTGGGGAGAACAGGAACTGGGGCCCCTTCCGTGTTTAAATCTCCTGAGAAAGGGAACGAGAAGTGCGCCAGGATCAGGCAGGTGGGGCCTCCGGGGTTCCCACCCTGAGTTCTCAGGAAAGGTCAGCTGACCCCAAGGGGCCTTGGGAGTTTCCAGCTCTGCCTGTCTGGAGTCCTGCCCTTCTGGGGTCCTTCGAGCCTCCCCCTGTCCTGGTGGGGCCACCTGCAGG